GAATTCAAATGCGCGAAGGAGAACGCACGACCCGATGTTCTGCAGTCCACTTAATGCAGGAAAAAACTCATTATCCTACATATTCTGGTCCATTCTACAAACGGGTCACGAGTAAAATAATTAAGTAATGTATACCAAATATTCCTAAAAAAGTACAAAATATCACAACAACAAGAGAACACGCATAAATTAGACAACAATTCGGAAAAATGCATATCAGAGATAGATTGATTTTATAAGCTACATGGACAAGAAAATTGAGGGTATTTTTTCCTGTAAACTAAGATGCCTTAAGGCCATGGAGGGAAGGGGAGTATCCTCATCGAGAAAAGCAGAAAACGGTCAAGAAATTGAAATGGAATGTCGTAAGCACTTCTAAGAGGTTTCAGCCTTGTGCTTGACTACTTGACGCTGGAAGACAAGGGAAGACAGACTGACACAGTATGAAACAAAGTCAATGACTTCTTTTTTTTATTAACACCAATACCATTCATACAACATCGACCAGAATTACAGAAAGATTGAAGAAGTAAATACATAGTTTTGGCCTACTAGACTTATGCTGAAACGGGTTCTTTTGCAAAAAGTTGAGCTGTGAAACCAAAGGTGGGCTTCTGGTACTCCTTACTTCCATTTTAGAATCATAATTGTTTCTTAACAAGAACAAATCTTTTTTTAACGCTCTAGTGACCATACAGGACGACGGAGAAACTTTCAGTTTGAGGCGTTCGACTCAAAATTAAATGAGTTGTCAGAATACGTATAAACTTTTCAAAATCGGATGGATGATTTCGGAGATATCTTTCAACAAACTTGATATTTCGGGTTTTTGGTCGATTCAGAAAAGTTTCGACTCCCTTTTTCCCCCTAACCGTGAGTCACATGGGTAAATGTACTTCTCTCAACGTTGTAGAACACTGTTTCGGCTTTCCACAACTCTCTCCTGAAAATTATTACTACGGTCCATCAATAGGACACCATGCGGCACCGCACCGGCCGGGCGCGTGGGCCCCTATCATCTCCGCTGCAGCCAGCGCGGCGGCGGATGGCACGCAGCGGATTTTGGCGACGCAGCAACACTAGTGAACGTATCTTTGGCAAGACGTGACCAAATCCGGACCAAATCGCACGAACGAGGCATCTTTTCGACTCTACACAAAATTTCCTATCCGATGGTGAAAGGCATTGCGTTCAGACTAGCAAAACATGATCACACCAATCGATTACCTGTCCTATTGAGGTTCGGACCTGGGTCGGAGGTCAAAATGGATTCCATAGTTGATCCAGGAAGCGGAAGAAGGGAATAACTCCATTTTCACCATTTTTCAGGAGGAACAAAAAACTGTTAGCAGGGAAATCTAAACCTGAACAATGGAATGTTATAGATGATAACAAGTTCAAAAAATATAAGTTAAACTTTGAGATGAACATCAGGAGTGTCAGGTCACTGCGTATAGGATATGTGTGACTTATCACTTTCCGCTAAAATGGAAAACAGAGTCATCTCAACTTATATTTCTTAAACGAAGTGGAATTAGGAGACATGTCAAGTGGAACTACAGTCAGCAGAGAGTGTTGGTTCCTCTGGTGCATTTTTTGGACTTAGCTCTTTTTTCCGTTTAAGTTCTTAAAATTAAAGGGGGGTAAGTTGACTTGATTCTTTTTACAATGGATACATAAAAACACAAGTTGAGTTATCTCCTTTCAACAATATGTTGAACGGAGTCATGTTGACTTTGGTTGAGATGTATCCATTTTCCGCTAAATTGAGAGTGTAAAAGGGGTCAAGTTGAGTTACATCTTTTTTCGAAGTTGATTTTCTCTTGAACTGCTAGGAATTGGGTCAAATAATTTGGTGCAATGATGCAAACCATTCTAACGCACAACGACATAATAAAAACTCAATTTGGAGATAAGTCAAATTATTCCCTTCTTCCGCTTCCTGGATCAGTTGACATCAGCACCCTTCAATTCACAGGAGATCAAGTGAAACATGACAGAAGACAATGCTATCGTTTTGTTGTGACATTGACATCATTTGCAAGTCCTGACAATACCATCCACGATTTCGTTATAAAGGGTCAACAAATTTTTGAAGTGAGTTGATTTGCCTACCTAGTCTCTTGAACAGCGACACTCGGGAGTACATACGAACTTGAACCCGTCGGTTAGTGAGGCTTTGCGATTTCGTTGAGACTTGGGTGGGAAGCTCAGGCAATGGTAAGTTCCTGGAGTCTAGCGTGACTGGTGGACGCCGACGCAGTGCAAACTATCATGCTTAGAGCGCCACTCACTCCTGACAGAACCCGATGAAAAAGAGGGAAAAGAAGCACCAGCTGCAGTTTTTAATGCCGCTACTTTCAACCAATAATCCGGTCTGATCCTTTTTTAGATAAAGGTAAGAATGGCATTGATATCGAAGCCCAACGAGACCGACAGAGTCGTACTTCCGAGAAGGTCTGGACCGGAAGTGGTGCCGCGACAGGATACTTCGGAGAAAACCTAAACCGGAAGTCAGCGACAGAACGGGAGGATCAAAAGAGCGTCACGACACTGCAGGAAATAACCACAATAAAAGTACACTAATTTCTGGACAATTTGGAATTTAGTGCGCTTTTCAAGTAGAACAATTGTTGTTCAAAGTACAATGGAACCGGCATGACGAGTGCTGTGCAGTCCAGGGCTCGTTGTGGTTTCAGCACAGCGTCGCGACGCTCTTTAGTTTCTCTCGGTCGGTCGCTGACTTCCGGTCTAGATTTCCTCCGAAATACCCTAGGGGTAGGTTGGGTAAGAAAAGTACACTCCAGGCTCGGGTAAGAAAAGTACACCCGTTATATCTCTGAACTGAAACTACACTGAACCATCACGTTAGTGGTTTTAGAAAGATTGGTCATCCCGCTGACCTAAAATAAATTTAGCCCAGTTCTACGTATAATATTTAGAATCAAACTGCACGTTTAAAAAAACATTAAAAATAACTAACTAAGAAAATCTTTTTTTTTAATGTTTGTACTTTGAAGTACAGCTTCCTGCAGAATCAGCCGACAGTCCAATGTAAGGTACCACCTCATAGCTTAGACTAACATCTTTGAAAAACAGTGCCGTTCGATGCTCTTAGGCTTCAACACAATTTTTTATAAGTGAAAAAATGAAATGGGGAAGAAAAGTACAGTCGGCTGGGGAAGAAAAGTACAGGCATTGGGGAAGAAAAAACACCCTCTAAGAAACTAAAAGCGGGATAAAAATTGAAATAGATTTGAATAGGCGAGACAAGCAAAAAATGTCAACACAAGTTATAGAATTAGACTAGAAATAGACAAGTTATTGGTCATTTACGTGAAAAGGGGAAGAAAAGTACAAAATGCTGTACCCACTTATCTCTGAGAAAAGGCTTTTTGGACCTTCTGTGATGAGTCCATGTAGATTCAGAACCAATTGACCGATTTTGACAAAACTTGAACTAATGGCAAGTGAAAGCTCTCCACTTGATGAGTAAACCTGTGTTGAGCCAAGGTTGGTGGTCTCCTGGTTCGAAATCGCAATTCTTTTCGTTGTACTTTTCTTCCCCGGTGGTGTACTTTTCTTACCCTTCTCGAGGAGTTCCGAAATCACATACATTTTGGCATGATGTATGTAATGAACGGAACTATAATCAATGAACAGTGATCCGTTTCATTAGGAAGGCATTGGACTACAAGCTCACGAGAGCAGAATAGTTAATTCCTCATTTGGAACTTCTGCACAGTGCAAAGTACGCGTTTTGTACTTTTCTTCCCCAACCTACCCCTATTGGCTGAAAACTCTTTGACGAACTAATTTCCAAGTGTAACCTCAATGATGCATCAGCTTTAACAATTCGGTTAATTTCATTCTTCAGAAGATGAGTGCCAGGATACGTCAACATTCTGACAAGTATACAAGAAGCACGTTACGGTAACTAATAGGTTTCTGGTTCAGATGGTAGCTCTTGACTTCCGGTCTAGGCCATCTCTGAACCACCTACTGGTTTGTATTTGAGGTTTATCCCCTACTGATTCACTGCAGGTTCTGCGATAAATGTCATGAGGGTATGTTGATGGTAGCCAGGACCGGAAGCATCAAACGTCATTCGGGGGTATGTAACAATGTCAAGTGTGATTCAAAGGTTCCGAAAGCAGAAATCTTAATGTGTAGAAATGTGACTTCGTTTGTCTATTCTTGGACTCCTTTGAGCATTTTTGTCGTTGGTCAGTGAAGAACCGGGAGTTCTCTTTATCGGAAGTGGCCCGGGCAACCCTATCGTTTAAACCTGAACGTGCAACTAATGCGGCAGTTAAACGAACCCCTGTACCGGAAGTGGAAGAGCAAAGTCTAGAACTTAAGCAGCATCAGCGCATGGGCAGACTCTTAGTGGAGGGGGACATCTGCACCTTCGTCGAAGCGCTCCTCATCCTCTGTACGGCTCTGACTTCCGGTCCAGGTATTCGTCAACATGCAGCGTCATCCTTCCAACTTCGATTCAGCCTGTTACAATTACTTTGGGGCAAGGGAAAGGAAGCTCTCAGCACGTTACTGACTTATTATCTCTTCGTTTACTTGTTGGTAAGCGCGTCATGAATACTTGGTATTTTCTTCGTAATTATGAATAATTTCCTTTGTGAAATTATGAATAAAACCAAATTATTAGTTCATCATTTAAGGTTTCCTAAGAAGTCCTTGACTACAAGGAAAAGTACGTCTTAGGGTTGCACACATTGCTTGCACAACTACGTAATGAGAAAAAGAGCAAAAGGGTAAGTAACGTGCTGAAAGTGAACATTTTTATCACTTTCTTCCTCGGACTCTTCTCCCTGTCCGCCCAGCTTCCGGTTTCTTATTTCTTTTGCTCTTCGTGTTTCGACGACTTGAATGCTCCAGGAGGTCGGTGGGTCACATGCGGACCCCCTTTTCCCCGTCTCAGCGTATCTTCTAGAAAGCTGGGTCTTGCAGTCGAAAGTGAAGAAGAGTCGAAAAGCCAGCAGTTTTGCATCCCGTTCTAACCAGTATGTGCCCCTCCCTGTTTTTCTACAGCAGTCCGAGTTTGCCTGTGAGCTTGCGACGAAATTAGCCGGGACCGTGCCGCAGCATCGAAGGGAGCAACCTACGGTCGAGTTGGAACGTGCGCTCCTGACATCAAGTTTATTTAAACCTGCATTAACTCATCCGGGCGAACGGCGAACCCGTCAGCGAACCGTTGAGCCAGCGTGTCGTGACACCTTGAAACCTGGACGAAACTGCTCACACTACGTAGCCGACGAAGCCTGGGGTAAGTTGATAGACTACGACCGTTGTTGCATGCTTCCCGCGAAAAGGCCGACTTCTTGTACTGTTTCCGGTCTATGGTCTTCCTCTTGTTTCTTCCTCATGTTTTCTAATAGGGTACTTTCGTAGATCCCTGAATCGGAAGCACACAGACGCCATGTTGGCGGAAGTAGATCCAAACTTGACATGGGAAAGAGACGTTCGTCAAAGGTATCGGCCACACTTGAACATAAACAGTCGTTTGATACTTGTTTGCAGTGCATATGTGTTTCGCGAGCAATATTTGTACAGCTCGGCTATAGTTTTGGATCCGAAGAGAGGTTAGTTTCCGGCCAATTTGGCATCTGCTGGTCTGCTTGCTTCCGGTTCAGGATTCTCCGAAAGTACCCTATACAAGGTAGGTGTACGCCAGACCGTGTCTTGTCGTAACAGGCTTCGCGATGCTGCGCTATTCACGACAGTCTACGCCTGGCGTTTTCACCTACCTTGGCCTGCGGCGCTTTTTGCTTCACTGTGGCAAAAGGGGGGGGGGGGAGTCGCACAGTGGGCTAGAACATCCTTTTAGGCGCTCAAAACCTATATTTCAGCCATTTTTGATCGCATCGCATATGTCGTTGATTTGGTACAGGTCTCTTTTGGTCTTACTTTATGAGATTTTGAACAAGGGGCGCACAGTGTGACGGATTCACCAGAAAGGGGACAAAATTAATAAACATGAACACTGTTAAAAAAATCAGTTGTAATTTTCATAACATTGGTTGGCATTTTTTTTCACAAACAATTGTTATGAAAATTAAAATCACAAATGCACTCTAAAAAAAATCAGTACAGAATTTTGTAACATGGTTACGCAGCTTTTTCAATAACATGTGTTACAGAAATTTGTATCACGATGGATACAATTTTTTTCTTTGTAACTTGGTTACAGAATTTCGTAACGGTTACAAAATTTGTAAACAGTCGTTATTCTTCCAAATCAAGCTTCAAAATGAGAATTTTGTTCGAACGTAGTCTCCGTGGGTCTGATGGAAGGTCCTTATGCCACCCTTCGAGTCACAACTTTCCCAGATGTACTCTGAGAAGTCGGGAATCGAACCCCAAACTCTGGGTTGGCGGCCCGCCACGCTACCAACTGCGCTGTGCGGACGCCGTGGAAGGAGCGGCGCAGGTAGCCGGTGACCTGAGGCGCGCGTGGTAAGGGACGGAGGCCTTGCCAGCCAAGCATACACGAGACTGAATCTCTTATTCAGAGTCGGGAAAAATAAAAGCACATGAAAACTCTAAGTTTAACTTGTCTCTATGGACACTGCTGTTCAATTTTGCCGTTAAAACATTATGTTTTAATCTCTGATACAGAATTTAGTATCCAGTTACAATTTTCTGTATCAGTTATGTTACAAACATAATATTGTAACCTTCATGTAACAAATTTCTGTATCAAGCTCCTAAATGATTCATTTTTCTGTAACCGGCACATCTGATACAAAATTCTATATCACTTATACAAATATTTGTAACCAATGCAGGTGATACAAAATCCAGCATAAAAAATGATACAAAATTCTGTAACTTTTTTTAGAGTGTGATTGTAAATTGTTTTACAATCACGTTATGAAAATTCATATCATGTTATGAAAATTCATATTCGCGTTTGCGAGGTCATTTTAGAGCAGTTAAGCAAAAGGACAACTAAGTGTTCATGTATATGAACACCCAAGCGGCCTTATGCCATTTATTGAACCGAATCTGCTTTTGAGCAGCGGGTTTCGAACCCGGGATCTTTGACTTGTGGTGCACGCTCTTTACCGCTGTGCTACCACGTCCCACGGGAGGCGGAGGGTCAGCTACTGATGACTCTACCAGCGCCCCTTGGCCACGCCTCTTGAGCTAGTTATGAAATTTACAATCGGATTCGGAAAATTACTATTGTGTGCTCAAAATCAACATTTAAGATTCGCAATTTTCAGAACATGGTTTTAAAATTACCAACAATTGTCAATTTTACGAAATTGTTTTGAATTTTCGCATCAAGTTATGAAAATTGCAATGTTTGTAAAATTCATATCCGTATTCGTAAAATTGTCATCAAAATTGCTTTGAAAATTCATAACTTTTTTAACAGTGAAACCGTTTGATCAGTTTACACCCAAATTCGTATACCAGGGTTTTGAAGAGCGCTGAACAAGAATTTAGAATCAATATTGCTGTTCAAAGTGTTATTTTCTAAATATCACACTAAAAAAAATATTTTGAAGTGTATATTTTCAAAATTTAGTCCACACACAATATTGAGGTCACTGAAGTCAAATATAAAAGTAGTTTTCATCAGGAGCACACAGTTTTGACATAGCACGACGTACAATTTTACTTGCTGTAGTCGTTAGCTCTAGATGGATTTGAGGTTAGGAATCCCGAAAAATTAATATTATTCGGAGAATTTCCTTACTCTTGGGCGTGGCCATTAGTTTAGTAAAGTCAAACATTCATTTCATGGCGCCAGGGGTGTGGTGAACGTGTCTGATAGCGTGAAAACGCCTCACCTTAGACAGCGACACGCTGCCATGTCCTATATTTAAATGCTCCCGGAGCGTCGGGTAGCGCATATTAGCGCCCAAACTCAACTTGTTCCTGTAGAGGAAGGTCTAATCTTCAAGTTAACACCAAAATTACCGCGGGACTCGGCGGGACTCGGTTTGAAACTCAAAGAGAAATTGCAACTTCTTATAACTTTTGTCGTTTTTCTATCATATTGTATGGACGCGATTTTCAAGCGATGTTGAGGCAATGATGGCTGTTCTATACAGCCAAATTGAAGAGAATGAAACACCCTTTCCAGTACACTACTCGGTTTGCTGCTAGCATGATTCGTTCTCCCTGTACGCAGTCTCAAATACGAGCAATGTTACACTGCTGGCGAGCTCGCCTCGGCAGCGCTCTCAAAGCGCTGATTTCGAAGCCACGGCTACGCTCTCCTGTTGGGAGCATCGACAAAATTCAAACGGCGTTTTGCAGATAAGTCTCTTGTCTACAACATGCGCTAGTCACTTTCTCTGTACCTCATACTTGAAAAAATGAATTTTGTCCCCGTTTTGGGGCATCCCTCACACTGTGGGGCGTCATGTTTCACTTTATCTCAGCCGTGGTTTACCGAAAATTGGTTTAGTATAATCGTATTTTTATGGTGTACGTTTCTGAGTGTGCGGGAGCACTCTCAATTGTCAATAAATCAATTCCAAACATACTGTAGGGGGTTTTTAATGTAAATTTCAGACGAGACAATTGAAAACCGCCTAAAGGTGACATCACTTAAATTATATGTGCGTTCTTATAAACAATGCTGTAAAAAATCATGGTCACTGATTTTATAACAATCGTCAAACTTCAATTTCCTAAAATGTCATTTAACTCTTCATGGAACAAGAACATTGCAAGCTGGTCAGCAAAGGGGTCATCTAGAAGTGAAAGAACTGTGGGAACTGTGGGCTATATGGATGATTGTAGACCAAAGTAAACACACTAAATTACTATGTAGGTTTTCCTGCGCGCCAATGCACGACATTAAACATGCACTTCGTAACGAACGAATTTGTGCGCGAAAATGCACGATTTTCTGCATACTTGCGCACGAAATCGTGTATTTTCGCGCACAATTTCGTGCGTTACGAAGTGCATGTTTAATTTCGTGCATTGGCACGCTGAAAAACCTACATAGTAATTTAGTGTGAAGACCATTTTTTAATCTTCAAAATGCCGCAAACCAACTGCCAAAAGTTCAGAACTTCCGAAGAAAAATGTCGCGCAGTGAAATTTTGTATGGTTTGCCGGCTTTTGTTGCATTACCTATAAGTCCCTTACAACTGAAAACAAAACAAAATATTTATTTTGTTTGAAAATGTATAAATTTTGTCATTTCATTTGGTTTTTACCGTGTGTCTCAAAGAGGGATATTTAATTAATCATCGCCATCAAACGAGGGGAGAAAAATCCTCCTAAAAAAGGGTACAGAGACGAGAAAAATTGGATTTGTTTTGAAGCAATTAGCAAGAGGTCAGCATGCCAGCGTTACGGCTGGGGTCTCAAAAAATGCGAAATTTTATTACCTTTCGTTTGAGCCAAGACGAGCCCTGTAGGAGAACTCCTTCTATAAGAAACATGTAAAGAACTGCAAGAAAAAGCGTCGAATTTTCAGTTTCTGATGAGTTTGATAGGAGTACTGCTTTTTTTCTTGCATTATTGTGGGTTCTGAAATATGTCGTAGATTTCCGATCATCTTTATTAGTGTGTCGGTTAGTAGTTATTACAAGGGGTACGCGCCGTTTAGTGTGGGCGCGTAGTGTGGCTGAGCGATGCGGATTGACATAGTTTGTGCACTTTGGACTTCGCTTGAGACAAAATGTGTATCTTATGGGCTCGTATTCAGTTAAATTTAGATCAGGGGTACAAATGGATGTGATTTTCGTTATCAGAACACCACAAATCACTGCGATCAATGTCAAGCTCGATAGAAAAATTTTGGTCCAAAATTGGTCGAAATTCGGTGAAATGTGGGTCTAGGAAGAGTTTGGAGGTCATTTTTGAGTTCAGCACACCAAAACCTGCAGGAAACAATATAAAACTTGACTTGAAAAATTTGGTCCAAAATATGACCCAATTTGGGATGAAAATATAGGTCTCGTGTTCAAATGGAAGTGATTTTCGTTATCAGCATTCACAAAATCGCAAGAATCAATGTACACTTTAATTTAAACAAAAAAAATGACCCTAAATCGGTTGAACAGTGTAAGCACGAAAGTTAGCGTCGTTGCGCGAGTTTCATGCTCGATTCTGTGCAAAGGCTATGCACCTAAAAAAAACTATGTAGTGATTTAATGTGCACGACTTAGCAGTCTATGCATTTTAAAATCTCATTTTTGTTAATTTGGGCGTTATTTTTTCCCAGGGTGTCTAGCTAATCCGGAATGATGAGCCTCCGCTACAGTTTGGGACGAGAGCCTGAAGCAGCGGATCAGGATGTGGAAATCCCTTTGAAGAGCGCAGATTCTCATTCCAAGGCGAGTCAACGCAGTACTCCAGCACATCTTCGGAGCCCTGTAAGGGTGAAAAATCTGAAGTGCTTAGTTTGTGACAAGAGTTTCAGTTTCCCAAGTCACGTGAAGCGTCATCTTCTTACCCACTCCGGAGAGAAGCCTTTTGAGTGCACCGTTTGCAACATGAAGTTGAGTAGCGCAAGTCATGTGAAGCGTCATCTTCTTACCCACTCTAGGGAGAAGCCTTTTGAGTGCACTGTCTGCAATAAGAAGTTCAGTTCCGGATGTGATCTCAAGAGTCATCTTCGTATCCACACAGGGGACAAGCCTTTTGATTGCACTGTTTGCAACATGAAGTTGAGTAGCGCAAGTCATGTGAAGCGTCATCTTCTTACCCACTCTAGGGAGAAGCCTTTTGAGTGCACTGTCTGCAATAAGAAGTTCAGTTCCGGATGTGATCTCAAGAGGCATTTTCGTATCCACACAGGGTACAAGCCTTTTGAGTGCACTGTCTGCTCTAAGAAGTTCAGTTCCGGAAGTGATCTCCAGCGTCATCTTCGTTTCCACACAGGGGACAAGCCTTTTGAGTGCACTGTCTGCAATAAGAGGTTCGGTTGCGAAAGTCATCTCAAGAGGCATCTTCGTATCCACACAGGGGACAAGCCTTTTAAGTGCGCTGTTTGCAACCAGAAATTTATTTCCGCAAGTCACGTGAAGCGTCATCTTCTCTCACACTCTAAGGAGAAGCATTCTGAATGCTCTGTGTCGTCTACGAACTCGCTTAGTGGAGGTGCCGTTTGAGTGCGTAGTCTTCAGTTTAATCGTAATCTCGGATACCCATTGGAGGAAGAAGTATTTGCAGACTAGTTTGAAACTAGAAGTTTCAAACTACACTGCTAATCCAAGTGTGCACCAGGTCCACGCTTCAAGGCGTGGACCAGGTCCACGCTTCACGGGTCCACGTTTTGAAACGTGGACCACCGCTTGGTCCACGCTTTGAAACGTGGACCACCGCTTGGTCCACGCTTTGAAACGTGGACCACTGGTTGGTCCACGCCTTGAAGCGTGGACCACCACGCTTTCAAGCATGGAGTTCTATGCTTGCCAAGCGTGGACCAATAGGTGGTCCACGCTTCTAAGCGTGGACCAAACAGTGGTCCACGTTTCAAAGCGTGGACCAAGCGGTGGTCCACGTTTCAAAGCGTGGACCAAAATGGTCCACGCCTTGAAGCGTGGACCTGGTCCACACTAGGATTAGCAGTGTAGGAACGAGCTCAGATCTTATCTTTGACCTGACACCGGGGAAATCTTGTTAATTGTTTCGTGAGATTGATTGTTAGAGACATGTTATTTCATTTTGATCATACGCAAACGCTTTGTGATCTTGCAATTATCTAGTGTTGATTCTGCGTATTAACTGTATTATGGTTTTGGTTTTCGGCCAAGTTGTCATTAGGATCTGTGGTGACATTATGCAGGGTTCACACCGGTCAGGGAAATCAGGGAAGTCATGGAAAAGTCAGGGAATAGAAAATGGGCACTGGAAGTCAGGGAAAGTCAGGGAAATTTGATTTTGGTCAGGGAAAATTTGGAAAGTTCGTCAAAGTATGGATTTTGAACGCCGCACGTGTGGAAGCTGCATGCAACTGACTCTAGAAATGCACATAAATTTTGAAAATAAAGTCAGGGAAAATAGGTAATTTTTTCACTGGATATCAGGGATAAGTCAGGGAAAACGAAAAAGGGAGTCTGGTGTGAACCCTGTTATGTTAATTTGCGTCTTACTTCAAAGCCTAACTTTATGTTTATTATTAAAAGTGTGTTTAATTTTGTTTCTCTCTTTATTATGCTCTAATTTTTTTACGTATTTTAAATCCTTTGCGAAAGCTGTTTGCCCCGGTCATGGTGGGACCCATGTGCAGTTTTAAAATTGTACGCTATTTATCTCTGAACAACAGTACATCCAAAATACCAGCAGCTGCTCATGTACTCATGTGTTGCCAGCTGAATTCGCCATTGGGTGCCTAAGAAGCAATGTCGCCAAGTTCCATCCCAGTGCGAGACTCCGATTTTGGGGTCCTGGATGGTCTGCCATGTAATGCCCCCTCAACGTCTTCGCATGCATGCACCCATGGGTCTTCGCCCCGCAACTAAATTTTGCGCAAATACGCTCCAAAGTGTTTACTCTAGTATGCATTTGTAATGCTGTGTATTTGGTGGGCAGGTCTGTACCACTCTGAATTTTGCAGCGCATTGATTTGAGTGGTGGCGATGTTTGCTCACGCCGTCGTCGCGTGCGCCGCGTGCACAGGGCCCCGCGGGTGCTCGCTGATTCCAGTCTCGTGCTCTGGCCCGACCGCCCGGCCTCTACCATGAACAAGCTGCTCGTGTCGCTGGTGGTGCGATGGGGCACACACTCTTAGTGTTCATATACTTTCATTGTCCATAACCATTGCCATATTTGTGCAAACTGAAGCTATGAACAATATAGTACATTGATTTAGAGAAAATATTTCAACATTGTGCTTAACTTTTAAAATTGTACCGAGGTTGTTCATCATTTATGGACAAACTTGAACACAACTTACAGTAGCACAAAAACAGCAATAGTTATGGACAAATAGCTCATAGGCATTTAGCGCGCAGTGAACATTGCTGCATGGCAGAGTCTCCTCAGCCGAAACATGGCAAACACTGTTTAAAAAAAGGGATTTTGCTTCTAAATACGAAGCAACTCTTCGTAGAATTTATAATGCCTTCGTCGAGGGGGTAACCACTCGCGTAAATACCCTGTACACAAAAAACGTGTATTGCGCGTAATACACGTGATCGTAATACAATTTTTGGGTCAAAGGTGCCAAATTTTGTCATTTTAAGGCCGTAATACACGTTTAATACCCCCGAAATACATCGTATTACCGAGTAGTCTGTACACGATTTCTTCAAGTGGTTACCCTCTCGGCCTTCGTTTTCTTCGTATTATTACGAAGCGATGCTTTGTGGACTTTACTCTGAAACGTTTTCACCGAGCTATCTCTAATGTGTTCCGTTGTTTGTGGTTACTGCCTCTCAGCCTGACGAGAAGTTCCAGCCAACCGTTCGGAATTCCCTTTGGGACACCGTCGAACCAGTGTACACCGTCATGCGCTGCTTCGCCACGTGGCCAGCGCCAAAGCCGAGATGTAACGCCAGAACGGTGGTTACACTGGTAGCCAACGAATGTGACGTCATATTCGTTGGAGTGTCAATTTTGTCACGTTCGTTTGAATATGATGTCCCATTCGTGTGAACGTGACTCGGCCGTTTAAGTACGTAGGGTGCCACATATGTTTGAACGTGGATCAACATTCAAACGAATGTGACATTATATTCAAACGAACGTGACAAAATTCACATTCGAACGAATATGACGTCTCATTCGTTGGCCACCAGTGTATTCAGACATGACTGTACGCTTGCACACACGTCTTCTTCAATACCATTGCCAAGGCGCAGCGACACACCACATCTTGCGGCAAGCTTTGTGGCGATTGGAGGCTTTTGGTGATTGGCCAACGAGCCAACCAAGGAGTCCTCCACTCAGCATTTTGTTGAAAGTTGTTTGGTTGTCTCAGATTGGCAAGGGCGCCGGGAGAGGCTTGCCCCAACCTGGGCACCATTGATCAAGACTTTTTCAGTCTCAGTGTTCCACACTGAGAAAACCTTACAAACTATTTTGGGCATAACAAAGTATTTTGAGCATACATAAGCTTACAAAGAAAATACTTCGTAACTTACGAACTATTTCTTCGTATAACAAAGTATATTAGTTTATTATATGTGTACTCAAAATACTTCGTAAGGTTTTGAGAGTGCACGCATACACCTTGCACGCAGTCGTCTAGTGTGTATGTCCAAATGACCTCAGCGTGACTTCGGCCGCAGGCTTGGCTTCGGCGCTGCCGGTGGCGTGGCAGGCGGTACTGCTGGTGCTGCTGTCTTACTGCTGGACGGACGTGCTTCGCGGCCGCCTGGCCGTCCTCGGCGGCGACCTGGGCGGCGCCGTGGGCACCGTCATCGCCATCCAGTCCGCCACGCACCTCGCCGTGTTCTGGACGCTGCCGCTCGTGTGGAGGGACGCTTTCCGGCTGGACCGCGTGTGGCAGGGCTGGGGCGCCTTCCAGGTCGGCACGGCACTAGTAAAACACAGACGTAAAATCCACGCCTTTCGGTGTAACAGCCTTTTACGCGTGGCTGAAACGGTTCCTGGTTTTCCCAGGAGCGCCTTTGAAATCGCCTATGTCTTCTCTTACAGGCTACCTGAGGAAACGAGAAACCGTTTTTGCCGTGCGCCCAAGGCGCAATAATGCATTTTGAAGGACATTTATTCTGCCTCGAAGTCCCTCTGCTATTTCATCGAGGGGCCCACCACTCAGCTCAGGGGTGTGACACGATCACTGTTATCCAGTAATTACCTCAAGAACATTCTCATAACAAAAATCTTGACTTTAGACCAGGTAGGTGCGTTTCCTGTCTATTTTCACAAGAAAAACCCTCAACACCGATACTGGCGAAAATATCCAGTTTTGGCATAGTTATATTACCAATGATTACTGGACGAAAAGTACACACGATCACCAGAGTGGTGGGCACCTCGTTATTCGTGCCTCTTCCCTAAGGGCGTGAATCGTTCACGCCCTGCTAGGGCAATATTTGTCCCTTTCCGACACGAAACATAAGATTAGAGCGAAAAACAGATTATGCGATGACCTGTTAACTCATCTGTAGTTCCGAAAATAAAATATCGACGGCTTTTGAAAAGACTGAGTTCGCCATACTACGCCATACTACTTCCCTAGAGCCCTAGTCTGTAGCCTGAAGGCCAAGTGCTATGAACTCGCATAATAGTCCCTCGGATGGGAATGGTTTCCGTAAGCGGGCAAGGGGACTTCGTTGCCCCTTCCTCGCCCACATTATCATCGCTGTTAGGCCTTTGCAGACTGGCGAGGGACCTACCCCTCTGGTAACCAAATAGACCGGGAAAGATTGCTGATAATTGCATGCCGAGAGGCGATTTGTGCTACAAACTGGCAACAGGCGGTTCTAGACTAATTCGACCCCGCTGAAAACGATGCGCTCTGTTGCCAAGCTCGATTTTTGCATTAAAGCCCCTAAATTCAAGATGGCGTCCAAAATGGCCACCAAAAAGCTCGTTTTTCTGAAATATCGAGGTACGCACAAGCGTCGCTGTATTATTTTTACAGTTTAGGGGTAAAATAATATAAAGTACACATTGTGTAACCATTTCCAACCATCTGCACATTTTTCAGGGGCCCAAATGCCAAGATGGCGTACAAAAACGTCAAAATATACCAAAAATCCGTGTTTTGAAACGGTTTTCTGCTCCAATGGCAGTTCTTGTCTATCTTCGTAAATTTCCACGATTTAGGAATATACGGGGTCAAATGTGGAAGGGGTTAGTTGCTAAGATGGCGTCCGAACCCTCGTGGAAAACAGCGGACGCCGGATGGACAGGGCGGTGAGGACAAGCGATGGATATCTAAATATCATCCATTTGTTTCAAATATGGACATAGCGGACATCCATGATTCGTCCGAGGCATCCAAGGCTAGGCCGTCCGACATCCAAAGCGTGTCCCCGTGGTGTCACCCAGCGCGTCCACAGGACGTCCTCGCTGCAATCCAGGACGTCCACGGGATGTCTCTGGCGTCCAAAGAGTGTCACTGCTACGTCCAAAGCGTGTCCCCGCGGTGTCACCCAGCGCGCGTCCACAGGACGTCCTCGCTGCCATCCAGGACGTCCACGGGATGTCTCTGGCGTCCAAAGACTGTCACTGCTACGTCCAAAGCGTGTCCCCGTGGTGTCACCCAGCGCGCGTCCACAGGACGTCCTCGCTGCCATCCAGGACGTCCACGGGATGTCCCTGGCGTCCAAAGAGTGTCACTGCTACGTCCAAAGCGTGTCCCCGTGGTGTCACCCAGCGCGCGTCCACAGGACGTCCTCGCTGCCATCCAGGACGTCCACGGGATGTCCCTGGCGTCCAAAGAGTGTCACTGCTACGTCCAAAGCGTGTCCCCGTGGTGTCACCCAGCGCGCGTCCACAGGACGTCCTCGCTGCCTATCCAGGACGTCCACGGGATGTCCCTGGCGTCCAAAGAGTGTCACTGCTACGTCCAAAGCGTGTCCCCGTGGTGTCACCCAGCGCGCGTCCACAGGACGTCCTCGCTGCCATCCAGGACGTCCACGGGATGTCCCTGGCGTCCAAAGAGTGTCACTGCTACGTCCAAAGCGTGTCCCCGTGGTGTCACCCAGCGCGCGTCCACAGGACGTCCTCGCTGCCATCCAGGACGTCCACGGGATGTCCCTGGCGTCCAAAGAGTGTCACTGCTGACGTCCTATGTCCCGTCCACAGGACGTCTCTGCTGCCGTACCTGCTGACCTCCATATGTCAAGCATGAAAGTCATAAGAAACATTAATTGCGTCATTTGAAACAATTTTTCACATTAGCCATTTATTTAAGCACAAGGCGGAACGCATGCTGTATTATAAATAAGAAAAAAAAATCAAGTTTTCCTGAAGTTACCATCACAGGCACAGTTTTCATAACAAAATTACCCATACTTTTCCAACTAGTATAAGAAAAATAAATCGAGATTATTCTTAAAGAACATCCAAATAAAAAAAATAATCAATGCTTTAATAACTTTCTCCTAATCCTCCTATTTACTGCTGCGTGTTCTTCAGTTGTCGCTTCAAAAAAGTCTGGCAAAGACTGTCCTTCAGTTTGCCATTGATCATCATGGCCACTCATATCTTTGAACTTGCCCTCTTCATCTGTAACGCTCCCAGACACATCAGTTTCACTATCACCACTATCGCCGCTGTCCTCATCTTCGCTGACACTATCAGATTCACTGCTGCTTTTACTGCCACCATAATTTCCACCATTGGTTCCTGTATTATCAATGGTTTCTTCATCACCACTGTTTGGGTTATTGTCATCATCTTCACTGCTGTCAACATGAATGTTGTCTTTACTGTCACCATCAGTTTCACCATTCCCATCACCATTGTTTTTGTCATCATCTTCACTGTTGTCAACATGACTGTTGTCTTCACTGTCACCACCAGTTTCACCATTGTTTTTTTCTTCATCTTCATCACCGCTGTTTGGGTTTCCCTCATCATCTTCACTGTCATCTCCTTCCTTTTTGTTCCTCTCTTTATCTTCATCAGTTTCCTTCTTCTCATTTTCAGGTACTTTCGAATTACTGAGGGTATGCCTCAGCTTGGCTCGCACATCAGCCTCCTTTAGGTTTACTGACCCGCCTTGCCTTGCATTATAGTCATCGATCAAACCTAGAGAGAGACCAATACTTATTACTCATATGTGTTAAACGCAAAATGTTAATCATGGATTTTGACAAACCAAAAAAAAAACACTAACCATGGATCGAGCTTACAAAGCATTCAGCAAGGCGTATCTTGCCACTGTTTGGTTTTGGTTTCAGCCCAAACAGATGTGCTTTCATCGGGAACATGAGGTTCATGAGGCCTGTCACCGCAGCTTGCAGGCCACTTGATTCCAGAAGTTTACGGTCGACTTTCTTGACTGCAACATATACGTCTTGGCCACACCACAGCTATTTGGAAAACATACAAAAGAATTAAAACCCTGACAAGCAAAGTCATCACATTGCTTAACGAATCGACTTTACCATGCCTGATGAAATCTGTTCAGGGAATTTACCCGCAGATTTGAGGGCTGCCGGAGAGTTAACATCAAAGGCAATTTGATTTTCGATCGTACCTTCATGGTCATGAGATTGCTGCTTCTTTTTTTTACCAATGACAGCCTCTGTACAAACAAAGTTTACTTTTAAAAATAGCCTTGTTTCACATTCAAAACAGTGAAAAATAATATACAAACCCTTGATCATTTCAATATCCACTTTCATTTCATTAATAATAGTGAATAGGGAAGAACAGCTTGCACATCTCTGAAAATAAAACAATGAACAACAAATTATCATCACAAGAATAGCAAAAGTCATAGGTCTTCTCACAGAAACCAAAAGCTTGGGTGCAAAATGAGGGTACCTTCTCATCATTATTCATATCCTCTTCCTGAATAAGAAAAGCAGGCATTATTATCAACACTACTGAAACTTATTCATTCATTCATTATAAATATCACATACACACCTTTTTCTCAGTCTTACTCTTGTTCTCATTTGTATTAGCATTAACCTTTGCCCCAATTTTGTTCTAGAACAGAAGGCACGAGTTACAACTAGCAATTGAAGAGCAAACCATAACTAAAATTAATTAGAAATAATATCGCACACACACACACCTTCTTGTTCTCCTCTTCCTTATCATCATGCTTTGTCTTTGAAGACTTTGTTCCCTGCATAAAGAAAATTGATGTTACTCCAAAACTAAAACTTCATGACACACTATATCATTCACACACACACCTTCCTGTTCTCCTCTTCCTTATCATCATGCTTTGTCTTTGAAGACTTCGTTCCCTGCATAAAGAAAATTGATGTTACTCCAAAACTAAAAATTCATTCCACATTATACCATTCACACACACACCTTATTCTTGTTCTTCTCTTCCTTATCATCATGCTTTGTCTTTGAAGACTTCGTTCCCTGCATAAAGAAAATTGATGTTACTCCAAAACTAAAAATTCATTCCACATTATATCATTCACACACACACCTTCTTGTTCTCCTCTTCCTTATCATCATGCTTCTTTGTCTTTGAAGACTTTGTTTCCTGCATAAAGAAAATTGATGTTACTCTAAAACTAAAAATTCATTCCACATTAGACCATTCACACACACACCTTCTTGTTCTCCTCTTCCTTATCATCATGCTTTGTCTTTGAAGACTTTGTTCCCTGCATAAAGAAAATTGATGTTACTCCAAAACTAAAAATTCATTCCACATTATACCAATCACACACACACCTTATTCTTCTCTTCCTTATCATCATGCTTTGTCTTTGAAGACTTCGTTCCCTGCATAAAGAAAATTGATGTTACTCCAAAACTAAAAATTCATGACACACTATATCATTCACACACACACCTTCTTGTTCTCCTCTTCCTTATCATCATGCTTCTTTGTCTTTGAAGACTTTGTTTCCTGCATAAAGAAAATTGATGTTACTCTAAAACTAAAAATTCATTCCACATTAGACCATTCACACACACACCTTCTTGTTCTCCTCTTCCTTATCATCATGCTTTGTCTTTGAAGACTTTGTTCCCTGCATAAAGAAAATTGATGTTACTCCAAAACTAAAAATTCATTCCACATTATACCATTCACACACACACCTTATTCTTGTTCTTCTCTTCCTTATCATCATGCTTTGTCTTTGAAGACTTCGTTCCCTGCATAAAGAAAATTGATGTTACTCCAAAACTAAAAATTCATTCCACATTATATCATTCACACACACACCTTCTTGTTCTCCTCTTCCTTATCATCATGCTCAGTATTTGAAGACTTTGTTTCCTGCATAAAGAAAATTGATGTTACTCTAAAACTAAAAATTCATTACACATTATATCATTCACACACACACCTTCTTGTTCTCCTCTTCCTTATCATCATGCTCAGTACTTGAAGACTTTGTTTCCTGCATAAAGAAAATTGATGTTACTCCAAAACTAAAAATTCATGACACATTATATCAGACACACACACACACACACCCACCCACCTTCTTCTTCTCAGCCTCATCATCTTCATTAGTCTTGGAAGTCTTGTTGCTGTTCTCAAGTGTCGCTTTCAATCTATTTAATATCTTGGACTCTGCGTCTCTCTGGCCTTTTGTTCGCACAGCCTTCTCTGCTTCAGTCTGCAATTAGAACGAAAGTGCAATGTATGTTTGTGAAACTAGCAACAAGAAAAATCGATAGGTAGAACGTTTTAAAGCAAACCGAACAAAACATTTAATTCTACGAACACTTCCAAAGAAGTATGTGATAGGTAATGACTGGTCAGTACACTTCATTAAAGAACCGTGGACCATCGGCTGCAATCTTAAGATATGAGTTTCTTACCACATCTCTATTCGACGGGTCACCCGCCATGGTGAAATTGGACGCCTTTTCTGGAGGCACAGGTAAGCTCTTGCGTGTTGGCATTCGCAGTAATTTTTCTTTGAGCAGATGGTCAATGTGATCTCGTGTTCCTGGGTTTGTGGTAATGGGGTTTATGAGAAAAGGGTGGGGAGAGGAATAACAATTTCAGTAAAGGTCACAAAAACTCAACACTGCTATACATGTAAGAACGCAGAGCGTTCAAAGCTGTCTTACCAAGAGCCAAGATCCAGTGCCTAACCAGGTGGCCGTTGTGAAGCTGGCCGTAGTCTGTTTTCTCCTTGAAGTCAGTACCATTTTTAGGTACAAATGGATGTAGGACCTTGCCCCTTATCTCAAATAAATCACCTGCCTGTATTAGGTTCCCCTTGCTTGTAGAAAGATTCTTCGTGGCACAAAACATATTGGCGACTAACTAGCTAAATGGACGGTTACAAAATGATGATTTGAAGGTAGCTAAAAGTCGCACCAACTAAACTCAGCAGGATGGCCAACCCCCAAGACAGCATTCCAGTATTGCGTGGCCATAGTCGTCACAAGGGTTGTAAAACCGCTCAAAGTTTTTGTTTAATTTACTTTTAATGAGATTTTTACACGTATTCATGTGACAAATAGATCATGTTTACGACGAGTTATGTAACTTTTTTTTTCGTACGTTAGTGCAGGGGCCTTTCCGGTTATCGACGAGGCCGTGACCATTACGGGCCGTCAATTTGGTTATTCTAACCCTATCAATCATGCTCCTTGTAAAACTACATCATGAGCAGCAGATATTCTCAAGAAGGTAAAGAGAAAAGAAAAGTTTATTCTGGTGAAAGCAGGACGACGGAATGGAGGAAAAGAAAACGGACACAAAGTCAAGAGGCTCATCTGATTGGCGGATCGGCTCCAAAGAAGGTTAGTTGCCAATACTTTGTTATTTCACACATATTTTCTCAACATTAGTTATCGCCAGTTTGACCGTTGACCCATGCAATGTGTGTTTGCTGTTCTTTCAGGTGAAGCCTCTTGAAACAAGTTCAGACGAACAGAAATTTCAAACTTTGTCGTCGAGCACTAATAACATTTTGGAAGTCCCAGACGTCAATGACGTGGAGGTAAATTCAGTTGCAGGCTTATCAAAAGATGTCTCTTTACATAAAATTTTCATTTGACTAAATAATTTAAAATACTGTTTCAGGACACGGAATCTATTCTCATGCCACTGTCATCGTCACCTGGAATACTCATGGAAATAGATCTTCCAGGCACAAGTGAATCGGAGGTAACAAATGTTGAAAGAAAAATTGCCGATATAATTATTTTTCCCTAGTGAAAAGGTCACTGGCTTCCAATTTTTTTTTTAACATGTATTTTCATTGTTGTGCAGCAGGACTCTAAATTGCAGTCAACTCCTTCTGGAACTATCATGGAACTAGATCTTCCTCACAGTAGTGAATCAGAGGTAACACTCTTTAAGGATACTTGACCTAGTGATTTATCTAATTGACCTCAAAGCCCACTAAATTGAATATTCCTCAGTGGCTTTTACATTGAATATGTCTTTTTTCTTCCCATGTTACAGGACACCGAGTCGCCGTCAACTCCATCCAAAGTAATCATGGAAATGGATTTTCCTAACAGAAGTGAATCAGAGGTAGTATTATTTATAACAGAATAATTACACTGCTTAGCTGGGGTAGTTAAGTCATACGGAACTTTTTAATTCTTTTATTAAGAGACACAATTGCAAGAACTTAAAAATAGTTTTCTCGGACTTTTAATTAATCATCAATTGGTGGCTACAAAGGCACAACTAAGACATTTACCATTTCTTATTACAATGTTCTATACCGATCTGTGGTTGAAAGTAAATATTAACATTGAATGTGAAGTAATTAGTGTAAAACGTGTTAAATATGTGGCCCAATTCTACAATATATAGATCACTTGGTCAAACAGTCATTTAGAGAATCAATTACCTTTGAAAGTAACCTTATAAACCATGTTTGTTTGTTTGTTATGTTACAGGACACAATTCCTGCGAAGTTGTCTGCAGTAAAACTGGCTGAAACCGCTCAAAAACTCTTCGGCCTTGAAAACTCTGGGGTATGTCAACTAACAGTACAGTCTTGGATATGGCTCAGCTTTATCTTCTAAATTCAGGAAACTTTTTTCCAGTGTGTGTTTTGGAGTGTAATTTGAATGTTGTATAGTGTTTTTAAAATCTGAACCAATGTGTCTTCCAAGAGCTGGGCTCCATGGAGGTTTTTTCCAGTGAGAATATGACAGGAAGTTGTTTGATTGATACAAGTAGATAACAGAAAGGAAGAAAACTAAACAAATTAGAAGAGTGGCTTTAACAAAAAGATATAATTTGAGAAAAAAAAACAAGAAAACAATAATACGCATTTTTCTTCCTCTTATTTCTTTAGAAGTTCTAATCGTAGCAAGTTATCCAGCAAATAATTGTATTCAAATAAATCTAACTACAAATTATGATTTTTCAGAATTAGATTTAATTACAAAGTTTGCCCTTTATTTATGATGGATTGAGAGTAATTGTTTTCTCACTTATTGTCATTCAATTTGTATAGAAGGTTTATAAATTTACTTCCTTTGTTGTTTTTCAGATTGGTGATGATGGCAGTTCTTCAGATTCTGACTGGAGCGACTTAGAGCAATTTTTACTGGCAGAGGACAATGGTAGCAATCCAGATGGCGATGAAGAGGAATGCAATGGGACTGGAGATTCTGATGAAGATGCTGGTGGCGGCTTTGAAGACAATGATGAAGATAATGATGGCGATGCTGGCGGTGGCTTTGAAGAAAATGATGGAGATAATGATGATGATGATGGTGGTGATGATGATGATGATGATGATGATGATGATGATGATGATGATGATGATGATGATGATGATAATGATGAAAATGATGAAAACGATGGTGCCAATTTCAACTTTAATCACGAATCTTTGAATAGGAACCTTGAATTTCATCGTCAAAGAACTGTCAAAGAAGGACTGCTGCTAGATCTTGCCTTGAGTGTAAGACACAAATGGACTTATGAAAATTTAATTCAGAACTTTGAATCGAAAAATACTCTGTATGGACAAAAGCTGTTTCCAGAATACAAAGCAGAACTGTGGCGCACTTTGGGTCGTAGCCAGGCTGGAATTACATGTCACCTTCTCTGTCCAACTTGTGGATCTTACTTGGGAAAGAAGAGGAGATTAGGTGACCAGATTCAATGTAATTCATGTAATGCTATAGTGTCAAAGAACAAAGCCAAATTTTTCTTGGTACTAAGCCTTCGAAAACAGTTGCAACATTTTCTTTCGATGCCTGCTGTTGGCCGACTTCTTAGTTACCGGGAAGAAAGAGTTAAAAGAAAGGAAGGTGCTATTGAAGATGTGTTTGATGGAGAGGCGTATCAAAGACTGCAACAAGAGGTAAATATGACAAGGAATGACTTTACTTATGTCATGAACACCGATGCTTGCAAAATGAGTTTCAAAGCTAAAATTAAAGCTACACCAGTGTTTGTTAGAATCAATGAACTGCCACCAAACATGCGCCAAAAATTCATATTTATGGCAGCCATTTTTGCTGGGTATGAAGAGCCTAATATGGTTGTATACCTCCCTCCCATTGTTTCTGAGCTCAACAAGCTGATGAGGACTGGCATTCCATGGGTTCGTGAAGGTGTTGAGGTCCAAAGTAGGTTTTATCCTCTGTGCAATTGTGTGGATTCCAAAGCTAGATGCCAAATGCTAAACATGGTCCCCCACAATTCGCATTATGGCTGTTGTCTGTGTGACATCAAGGGGAACTGGATGAACGGAATGCGGTATCCATTTGAACCAATACCACCAGATCCGCCTCACAGACTCCGTACTCATCAAGGGATGATTGAGGACATGACTGAAGCAGTTGACTCGCCTGATCCGGTGAGAGGCCATAAGGGGCCCACTGCACTGGTCAACTTGAACCACTTTGACTTGGTCACCAGCCAAGCCTGTGATGATTTGCACCTGTTGTATGAATGTACCGTGCCAATTACTCTCTCGCTTCTACTGACTCGTGCTCCCCGCCTGGATAAACATATGGGTATCAAGGTAATAGAAAGGATAATTGACGCAAGAATGAAAAAAATTGTAACTCCTTTCAATATTTCTAGAAAACTTGCTTGCAGCAGTATTTCTAAACGGAGTTCTTGGAAAGGAAGTGAATGTAAGAATTTCCTTTTCTATGGTATTCCATGCCTACAGAACTTATTCGAGCCTCGTTATGTTCAGCATTTAGAACTTTTGTCTCATGCTGGATTTCTGTATTCACAAGATGTCATCCTTCAAGCAAACGTAAACAAGGCTGATGAATATATAGATACCTTTTTAGTTCTTTTTGAAGAATATTATGGTCCAGAGTTTACACGCCTTAATATGCATATGTTAAGGCATTTAAAAAGATCTGTAAATAATTTTGGTCCTTTGTGGGTTTACTCCACATTCAATTTCGAATCATGGAATAACAAAATAATCCAAAACATCACTTCACCAAAAGGAGTCGCAATTCAGATTATCACCAGACACCTTATCCACTCTGCTTTAGAAGTTGCAATGCACATGGATGAAGACCTGTCTGATGATGTACGGCAACAATTGCATAATATTCTCACAAAGAAAAGGATGAAGACAGCAAGACACATCAAGGACAAGACTTATGTAATTGGAAGACACCCTGTTGTGCGTCCCCCAACTGATTTGGAACGCGAAGTACTTCAAAGAGAGGGATTTGAAACAGAAAACTTGAACATTTACAAGAAAGTCATGATTTCTGGTACCAAATATAATTGCTCCAGAGGAAACAGAGGCAGCAAGAGTGATAACTCAACCATTTACACATGGCAAGACACGTTTTGCTCAGTCCAAGATGTTGTTACTTTTCATCACAATGAAGAGGAAGTCTGTGGAGTGCTTGTTTTGGAACATGAAGTTCTTGTACCAAGGCCCTTTCAATATGCTAGCCATATATCTGCCCTTGGTGATAGGCAACAGGATTTACTGCATTTTTTGACATGTGAAGCAATAAGATGTCCTGTTGTCAAAGTGTGCATTTTGAACAACACCTACTTCATACCAATGCCAAATATGTTTGAAATAGACTAATGATTGAGCACTCTCCCCCATTGTGGAATTGTATTTGTTATTAGTGGTCTCACTGTTGTGGGCATGTCTCACTTTGCTTCTGGATCATCTCAGGAACACAAAGACACAGATTCCATCATTACTGGTCAGTAAAACTTCATCAAATTCATTTATTAAAAAGATTTTCTGTTTTTTTTTTTTTTTTTCAACTTCATTATGATTAGTTGTGTGTCAGAAACTTGTTTTATATGTTACATTTTACATTTTATTTCTG